TATTCTATCGCCATATTTCATTTTCTTATCGTTGCCCAACATTATACCGGTATTACCGTGGACAGTATGGCCCAGCCGTAGTCCCGAGTGCTTGAAAAAGATAACAGATCGACTTCTTGTTTCTTGAAGATTAAGATCTCGTAAAAAACACAGACAGTGGCTCCAGTGTACACTTTTCATTGTTCTTAACACTTCAGTTCCTGGTATGTTATAACTTTGCCTGCAGAAAGATCTGTTGCTAGGTACAACTGGTCTTGGTTGTGCTGTTGTTCGTCTATCAGCCAGATGCAGAGAAGAGCAGTTATGGGTTATGGGACGATGGCGTTCCTGCACTGGCGATAGAAACTTCAAGGTATCGGGTTAAGGTTGACACCAACCTAGAGGAAGCATGTCTGTGACAACTGCAGTAGTAGGGAGCAGTTGTTTTTCTGCTCTTTTCAGAGTGATGCCCGACTGGAGAAGAAACGTGAGCCGGACTCACTGTGCACAGTTTGGTGTTATAATTGATTGAAAATGTGAATGAAATAAAAATGTTCGGTGTGATAATAGATTACAAACTGATACTAATTTAAAAAAATGTTTCTATAATGCATAAAGTTGAATACCTGTCTAACCACAATGCTCATAGATGATTGTATTATTCTGGTCATCTCTCAGTGATTGTGCTGAGTTATGAAACACATATGATATCAATTAAAAAATCCTTAACGACTTTGAGCAAAGAGCAGTCAAGACAGTTTGCTGATGTGATCTCTTGTGCATTGTTACTGGTTGACTTAATTAATTACTAAAATCATCGAGAGAAAACTTGATGAGAAAACATTGTAGTCAATCTGTTAATTATTATTACACTTTAGTGCAGTAATAACTGATTTCACCAGCAGGTGTCAGTAAAAGATCACTAAAAGTACGCAGACTGCCCAGTTAGACCTGGATTTTGGTTTGGTGCTGCCTATTAATTCCTGACTGAAGACATGCAGCGGTACAAGCCTCAAATACAACATTCAGTTAACTGAAAATTAGTTTTATTGCTCTTTTGAGAAGCTGGATGACCTTTGGAGCCGTCTGAACCTTATTAAGTCTCTATCTGACATGGCTCATAGCTTGCGCTTGTAGTCCTGCTTCACTAAGAGACAAAGGAGGAGCAGTTAGCTGGAGAGGGATAGGTCAGTGTACATTAACCTCTGCCGTGAAAAAATGTTGCTGAAAACATTCAAACTGGAATCGCATTGTGCGGTCAGTCATTCTGTCTGGGCTTCGAATGCTGCAGACTTGTGGCTTGTGCTGATATTTTCACTGCACAATGCTTTGTGTTGCAGAGGCAGCGATTCTGTCCTAATGCAGGAAGGTAGGTAGACAATTACATCTAATTTTCTAATTGTTTTACTCTGCCACTGATTACTTTTTTGTCCTCCGCTGTTGTAGGAATGTCATTTCTTTTATTGTTAGAGCCTCTGATTATGATTGGATGCTGGGAAGTAAAAAGAGACATAATGCATGGTTTTGGTCCCCTCATTTAATCAGCACTTCACATAACAATGTCTCTGTCGTCCAATTATATTCCCTCAACCAAGAAAAGGATATCCTACAGCCTGCCCTGATCAATTAAGTCATTTCGTAAAATCTACTTCAAACAGTGATTTTGCTGTAAATACAGAGACATTAAAATTTGGTAAAGTCCAAAGATAAATAAATAAATAAATAAATAAATAAATAAATAAATACATAGATAAAGCACTGCCTCAGCCCAGGAAAGCTGTCTGTCATGAGAAGGTTTTAAATTAGGCAGCACAGTGATCTGTAAAAGAGCAAAATCACAGAAACGTTCTCATCGTGTGCTGTGAATCATATAAATCTGCCACTGCAAATATCAGGAAACCATTTTTGCAGCACCAAATGGTGATGAAGAATGACTTTGTGAACTTGGTGATCTCACAAATCATGTCAGAATGCACACAACTCGCCAATGTTTACCAAACTCATGTTTGTTGAAAAAAAATGGCAAAAACGGTTATGCATCCAGACGCTTCATTTGGGTATTAAGTGATAAGTCAAATACTCGAGCTGGAAGATTCGTTTGACAGTGAAATTTCAACTGGAACAGCAGCGGAAGGCTTTCTAATTGTTTTCATTTGAGACTGATGATGGGTGGATTTACTCTAGTTGCAGTAAAATAACTGCTAAATCTACTGTAAACATTGCCCCAAAAAATCATCCTGTATGTTACAGAAATAACCTTGAAGAGAAAGTCTTGTCCAAAAAGTGACCAAAACTGTAAAGAAAAGTTGTGAAAAACCTGAATTATACTTCGAACTATTCTTTGAGAAGCTTATTGCAGACCCGTTTTGGGTTTATGGCAGCAAACCATAAAGAAGGAAGCCATGTACAGAAGTTAAGTCCTTAAAGTTTTCATCAGACGCAACTTTCAAATCTCTGTGTGGCTTTTACTTGAAGCCGCATTCACACCCTCTAATAAACCTACTTGCTCAAAGCTGAAGCTGGCAGTCATTCTAACTGTGATGAGGAAGCGATTGATGTGTAGCAGCTGCATCCTGTGACCAGCACTCTGCTCAGCCATTTGTCTCTGTCAGCTCCCCCTCAGCCCGCCCACCCCTAACATCATCTTGAAAAGCACTGGCAGCCCGAGCCTGACTGCAGACCGCCAGGCCTTTTGTCGCCACACATGGTGTGAAGTGCCCACCCCCACCCTTGCCCACCCAGCACCCCCACAGCCTGCCCTTTTGGTCAAGCCCAGTTTGATTCCTATCCCTTGCTCCAAATGTGGAATGACACTAGAGACGGCAGCTGGTTGGACAAACCTGCTGCCACTGCATCACGGCCATGCCCGAGGGCCCAAAGCAACATCTGCCCTCACAATCGGCGGTGGAGCCGAGCCAGCCGAACATATTCATGCCACCGGACGCCAGCATCACTCAGCTGGGCAATCATCCTCTTCCTCTCTCTTGTCTTTATCTGTTGCTCCTCCTCTTTGTAGCTCAATGATAAGCTATTAGGAAGAAGCTACCCTATAATTTCCCCCCAGCATTGAATGGGCGCCTAAAGGTGTGCTTTGAAAATTAGTGATTTGACCTCCTGATTATGCACTGTCAATGAAAGATGGCTTGGTTCTGGAAAGAGGAAGCAGGTGGTTGATTGAGAAGTAAGAAATGTAGTCTTTCTTCCTTTCTGTAAGGGTTGGCAGCCTATGGACGTGTCCACATATCTGCTGTGAATGGTTCTCATTCTGTGACAGTGGCACAACTCAGCAGCTGAGCTTTAACTCTCTCTGCTTCACTGATGCTGTATCGTGCCCTTGAAAGGTGACGGGACTCATACTTTCTCACTAACTATCCATGTTGGTGAATGTGAACACCTTCTGAAACATTTCCAAACGCACGAAATAGCTTCTCCACACTAATTCATCTTTTATTTATTTATTAATTTGTTTCTGCAGCAAGGTCGAGCCACCCTTAGCCGACTCTGTGGCCGTCATCGAAATGAGAAGCATTCTTCTCATTCCTTGCCAGCCTCCTCATATTTTCAGGAGTGGGCCATGAAATGAAAGACACACTTTACAGCCAGCGTTGACTGTAGCGACCTATGACAATAAATGTTTTGTTTCCCTGCACTAAAATGTGACACTTAAGGGCTCAGACCTTAATATGTGACGAGCTGCATTGGTTTGTACACTTGTGGAGGCTATACAGATAAGCTGTCACTGGACATCATTCAACATAAATTCAAAGCTAACGTATGTGGATTATTTTTGTTGTTTGATTATGTCATTTTCCAATTATAACCCTTATAGTATTTGTTTGTTTTGTTTATAGAAAACATTTGGAGGAGAAAAATCCAAATATTCCCTTAACTGACTTTCATTTTGTGGCCTTTTTAAATCAGCTAAATTATTTGAACTTGACTGACCTGACACACAACTACTAGTTAAAGAGGGAGACGCTACACTGGTTTAAAAAATGTCCAAAATATGGTGATTAAAGCTGCAAATTTTTTCACTTAAATGAACTCAAGTCTTCAGTGTTGAAACATAATGCTCGCAGGATGTACACGTCCAGTTTCTACTGTTTTGTTGATGAAACAGCCAAACAAAAATCTACCAACGTAACATGAATACAACATCGAGCTGAATGAAGGAGGCAAAAAGCTCAATTTTCAATGTTTCACCTAAGTGTAAAGTGTGTGTAGACAGGGAAACTACAAACGTGCACCATTATAAACTAAACATTAAAAAAGACAAAAATGAAATAGGAATTCAGCATATAAAAATAAGTGGCTTGATCAAGCACAGCAATGCACTTCTGTCGAATCACATATCTATAAAATGTTCCCGTCCGGTTAAGGAAAAGGAAAGATCTCAGTTACAGTCCTCATGGCAACCTTTTTAAATACCAGCAGAGACATTTTTTTTATTTACTGCATATCCAATAATATATGGATATTTTAAACAAATTAAACAATAATTTTTAATGGAAAATCCTGATGTATAGATCTTCAAATATAACATTTTTACTTTGGCCTCAAATGGCAGTGAAACCCAATCTACAGCAAAGGTCCCGGTTCAACTTCAGCTAATTTGTCCTACTGAAAAAAAGTCTTTTTTTCTATGAAACATTTGATTTGAAGGGGGGGGGGGGGAATGTGGATTTTACCTTGAAATGTGACCCCTTTGCCTGACTGTAGACCAGAATGCATTTCATTCCAGACACAATGGAAGTCAGATGGCCCTCGTGATTTATCTTCACCTTCACTACCACTGGATGCCATGCTGGTCCTGTGAAGGCTATCTGGACCATTCAGAGCAGGATCCCATCAGCCCCACTGTCTGAGTTATGGTGACACTTCCAGACCACTGCAATGTTGTAGCAATGAGCCTGCTGGGGATTTATTAAAGCGCAACCCCCCGCCCCCACCCGCCTTTTTCTTTTCTGCTCACCTCCCTGCCCCGTCTGTTCACCGCCAGAAAGGATCCTATCTGTCTGCCCACAAACCAGAAACACATGCTCAGCATCTAAGCAGGCTTCAGTCACCTTGACTCACTTCTGCTAGCATGGTGAGCAGATACACAGAGTGACATACAGAAACACGTAAACACACAGCCATGTTTAGGAGGAACTGTGCTTTGGGTGAGTGGCGCTGGGATAGCGTCTTTATTAGAGTTTCATTTTGCTTTGGTTTTCTGCAAAAGTTTATTTTCATTGAATCTTTTACCCACGATGTGCTCAAACAGATTTAAAATCGTACAGTTATAATTGTGATTTATTTGGAAGACTTTGTAATGTTAAGAATACTACTAAACTGATGCATCCCTAAGGAATAATAATAATAAAAATAGCAGATTATTCAAAAAATACAAGTGTATTCATTTGTATTAGTAATAATACAGAAGAAGCTGTGATGTAAATGTAAACTTTAGCTATAAAATGTGTTAAACTAGATTTTATCTGAAGCTTTTTAACTTTGAATTTGTTCAGTCAAACTAGTTTTGGTCTCTTTTTCATGTTGATTTTTGTGTTGTTGCTTGAATTGAAATTGCATTTAAATAAACAGGATGGGTTTTGAACAGTGGTTGAAAATCATTTTAAAGAAGACTGTTAACAGCAAATATACAGGAAAAGGGGAAATTATAAACAACAGCTCCTGTTTGTTTAGGTTTGAGGCTCCCTTGTTGAAGGGGGGCTGCCTAAAGTTATTGGCATCATAGTTCAGAGTGTCAGCTCATTCATCTGTATCAGACGCACAAACCACAACCAAGGTAACCCGCATTTTCTCCACAAGCCTCTGTTACAAAACACGAGAGAGGGAAACTTAATGTTTCCTCACTACAGCTTGGAATTTACTCCCGTTATTTTTTCCCCTGCCTTTTTTCTCCCCCTCATCTCGTCCCTCCCCCCTAGAGCGAGAGTCTCCCTGGTTGTGTTGTAGCAGCGCGTTATAAAGCAGAAAGCCTCGCCATTCCTTTCAGATCGGAACGCTCCAACCGCTGAGCGTGCTGGCCATTAGACAGTCAAGACCTGAACGTGCTCACAACTATGACCCTCCTGCTCCCTCCACCTGGATTAACTCTTAAGTAAGCGCTGGTTGTCGCTACCTGGTCCCTCTAACGTCAAGCCGCGGCAGCAGCCTCACCGGCCGATCGATCCTGTTCCCAATCTGCAACTCTCTGCTTTGTTCTCTTGCCATGGGGTTCGTTGTTTCCTTGTTGCCTGGGCAGCTGATGGGCTTGATTGTGCTGTGAAGTGGATACAAGGTGGATTTATGGTCGTCAAAGCCGAAACTACCATCCGAGGGAAATTAGTGGAAGTTTGAGCTCCGGGAGGATGCAGGTGACGTGTTGGTGCGCCGTGTTCCTTCTGACGCCTGCGCTTTACCTGGTGAGTTAGATTTTTCTTCCAGTTCAACTTTTCTGCACTTCGGTTTTATTCTGTCAGGAAGAAGAAAAGCCGTGTTTGTTGTTGTTTCCACACCGTGTGAGGTCCGTTACCCTTTCAAGCGTGCGTACTCCAAATGCATTTACATTGGCAGTGAGACTGGCGACTGTTCGGGGGATTCCACCTTATATTGCACTGCGTAAAGTACAGAAGTGGAATTCAAAGTTTAGATACACACTTTATTATAACTATGGAGCAGTAGGACTTGTGACAGGTGTGCCTTACGCTCAAATTCGCTGTGCGTAATATGCGCGAAGGAAATTTCCTCAAACATATTACACGGTATGTTTTAAAATTATACTTTTCACGTTGAACAGGTACAAATTGTAACACCTACATGTTCGATCGCAGACAGACACAGCAGTAGAAATGTCTCATGAGGGCGCCCTAACAAACCAAAACTCCCGGTCAGTCGGGTCGTCTTACGCAAACTGTGGAGCCTCTTAGGCTGGAAAGCAACGAGAGACGGAAGTTGGAGTTTGGGATCGGTTTAGAGAAATGTGACAAATGAGCTTTTCTGCATACTTTAGAATGATTTCTGTAGCTAATAAATAAATAAATAAATAAATCCTTTGAACAGATAAAACAACTGAAACATATTTCGCAAAAAACTAACAACGTGTTTGCTTGAAAAGACGCAATTCAGCTTCGGGTTAATATAATACAAGTCTAGTCATAAGTGGGGGTTTTATTTTGAGAGAGCAAGAAAACAAAACAAAACAACAAACAATAAACAATAAATAATAAACAAACAAACAAACAAACAAACAAACAAACAAAAACAATACTGATTTAGGCTCATCTGGCCGCACAAACGTGATTTAACAAACTGTTGATGATCGTCTACTTGGAAAAGAGCGACATATAAGCTTCATTCTCGGGCCTGATATTTCGTATAATTTGAGAAAACAAAAAGTGGAAACATAAATTTGATTCTATTTCATTTTTTTCTTCGTCTTCTGTAAGTCTTTAATTTAGCTGAGCAAATGCCATAACAGTGGAGTTACATATATATATATTGCAGACAATATTCCGTTTCATTGAAGCAGACCGTTCACGGGGTAATTTCAGGTTCTGTGAAAACAGCTGAAGTCATTAAGAAATCATAATTATTTTTGGTTTGTTTGTTTTAAATAAACAAAGACCAACTAACTAAACACACAGCCGTATTTAAGTAACTTTCCCTTTCTTTGTCCCGGATAATATCTGTGTATCAGTTTTGCGGCGGTATTATGGGTCGTATCCACCCCCCCACCCCCAATGTACATGACTCGTTTATTGAAAATAAAATAAAATAAAGGGGAAACATGGTTCGGAGGGGAGCTGGCCAAGGTGCTGAAATCATTGAGCGCACACTCTGAAGCATACACAGAAACACGGAGACGTCACAGGAAATATAACAGGCCTAAACACGAGATTATTTTAAAATTAAAATTGAAATGGTCACTGTGAACTAAACTCAGAAGCCTGTGTTGTGTGACCACTTTTTGACACCATTCTCTTCTTGACATTAATTTGCAAGTGGACTCCAATCTTTGGGGAGTACTCTCTGAAACCCCCCCTTAATATTTCCTTGTCCTGATTCTGTTTCAAATTTGGAGGCATGGGATCAGTTACAGTAATTAAAACAGATTGTGAATTTATTGTAGAATTGTCACACATTCCACAATATCCATTTTTAATATTGTGGAATGGTAATGTCAATTCACAGTACAATAAATCCTGTTTGGCATGTTGAATTGAGTATGGAATGAACACACACACACACACACACACACACACACACACTCCGACAACTCGGCTAGGATAAGCAGAGCTTATAATAGAGCCCGTTAACTATCAGCCTTATCCACCGCAGCGAGGATTAGAGCTGAACTTTGATGGTTTTATTTTGTGTTAAAGGCTCTTGTCTCTGCTTAAGCCTCTTGTCTGAGAGCTGTGCCTTGACCCTGATAACAGCACAGTCTAGGTAGACCGCTGCACATGTAAAAGACACAGCAGGACTTTTACTTAAAATGTCCACTATTTAATTTTCACGCGTCTTATTTCCATCTTGTTATTACAATTATTTATGTAAGTGTAGTGTTCACACTGATTTATTCAAACAGTTGTTATGGATAATATTTTGAAGCTTCATCCTGTCTTTCTTTGACACCTCATGAAACGGTAATCTAAAACTGTATTTAATTACAGTGCATTCATTTCATTAAAGTCTCATAGTTTCTTCATTACTGTTTAAATATGTCTACACACCCATCCTTATTTTCCACTTATGCAATTTATTATATTATATTATATTATATTATTTTATATTATATTATATTATATTATATTATATTATATTATATTATATTGTTAATTACACAACCTTTCCTCTTGTGGTAATGATCTTATTATCTTCTATTGATTTTAATTTTGGCTCATGTTGTATTATTATTTGATGCTGTAGTGACTCTTTTTTGTGGTTGGATGATCTCATCAGTTTGTCTTGTACTTATTTTTATAGTTAATAGACAGAAATTCTGACAACATGAGAGATTTAAGGATTTGAGTCACTGACAACAGCTTAAATACCAAACTGGCCTTGAGACAGGATACTGTCTCAAGGCCAGTTTGGTATTTAAGGGTCTGTAACTCCCACTGTCCCTCTCCCAATCCCCCACTCCCCTCCCTCTCACCCTTGGGACTAAAGGATGCAGTGGTCCCATTGGCACCAGTCGTCGTAGTCCTATTAAAGTGCTATTATAAACCAGTGCATTGAATCCTACAATGTCAAACTGTCTGTATGGGAGGCAGGAAAGAAAGATGACTACAGCACACCTTACACAGTGTGACCAGCCTATTATCACTACCTCCACTACTCGTTCACCGTTCTCCTGACCCCCTTCTCAGCACAACCTTCACTTCCACATTCCTCTATAATCCCCCCCCCTCCCCCCCCCAAAAGAAACAACATAAAACAACCAATATGCTTTCGTTGAGCTGTTTGAAGCTTAAATCAAGAGCGGGCCAGCATTAATTGAATTATATAGCAAATGGATTCTTGTAAATGCCCACATGCTGTGCGACTGAAGATAAATACACACACACACACAAGTGGACAAGTGCATTGTGTGGTCATCAAGTAAGAGCTGCTGAACGTGTGAAGCTTTCCTTTTTCAGTCCAGATGTCGACTAAGTGAACATTTCTCTCAGTTCCTTCTTCAACCTTTGTGCTACTTAGCTTTTAAAGCAGCATGGAGGCGTCACTTTAGAGCCATGAGAGCTTGGCTGCTGGAAAGAGCCAAGTACAAAAGGGCTCAGAGTTCAGTCTCAGATAACAACAATGCAATTCCCCCACTGCTGCTGTTCCTGCCGCTGCCTTAGTGGTCTCAGCTCAGCCCAGCTACCCAGCTCTGTTACACTCACTGGTTTTCATTTAGTGACTCCACTGAGTCTTTAGTGACTAGTCACCAGCTGCTGTGAATTATTT